GGACAGAGGGTCTTGGAGATGTCTCATCCATAGGGTCTCCATGAGTCGTGATTGACTCGAGGGCAGTTAACAAATAACAAAACTATTACAGATCCAACTGAATAAACCTACTAAAGTTACTAGTAACCATAACTACAAATTATTACATCATTAGATTTTCTTTTTGCTCAAAAAGTCCATAGTTTCCAATCTTTCAAAAGTCATCAATTGATTTATGCTTTAAAACTAACATTAATTTGGCTGTTTGTCCTAAGTCAGCAACCTTAACAATCATTGTTTCTGTTGTCGGTACTTCAGTCCATTTCCAAATTTAGCAAACAGTGTTTTTGCTGCTGTTATCATATATCTAAGTAATGGTCCATATTTACTATCAAATTTATTATCCATAATACCCAGCAGTAACACTTCTGATGACACTGCAAACTGAACCTCTAAATATTTTTAAATTAGCATATAAATCTTAGACCAGTAAGTTTTCACTTTCTTGGAAGTCCACCATATATGAAAAAAGAGTGCCCTCCTTATTTGACAACCCCAACATTGATTTGAAACATTACATTTTCAACAACACATTTGGAGTTAGATGCCATTAATATATCATCTTATACATATTTTCTTTTCTGATTTTTAACCCATTCCTTCCTGAAAAAAGCTTCCTAAGGTGAGGTGGCTAATGTTATCATGTATGTGGGGATTTCTGCTTGTATTTGTAGGAAGCTTGCAAAAGAGCCTTTCTGGTACAATGATTTTTGAATTCAGCATGTGCCTTAACTTTATCATATCAGATAAGACCATGTCACCCAAATCTTAAATCACGACCTTCAAATTCCAAAAGGAAATAAGACACCCTATAGACCACAATTAGCATAGTAAATCTCTCTACTGATCAGCTCAAGGGTTCTGTTTTTTCCTTGTCATCACTTCCACCAGTGTGCAACTCCTGACTGTCATGCTGTAAATCTGTCACAAGGAATGGTAGCCACAACATGGAGTCCATTTGCAAGGCTACAAGAACAAAATGATAGCTTCAGGAAGCAAGACCAAATCACTGAAATCACTTTGCCATGCCAAGGCAAAGTTTCCAATCAACAATACTCTTCCTGTTTTATCTTTTTTACATTACATTTTACATTTCAGGAGTTTCAAACAGGATTCTTTTGATTAAGGGAGGCTGGCCAGTGATCTCATCTATACTGACAATTTGTGCCAATTACCATTTAAAGTTGCTTCTTTCTCTGTCACTCCGTATCCAAACACTCTCTTGTTTTTTGTTTTTTTTTAAATAAAACAAAACAAAACCTTCAGTACAGAGGAAGCATGTTTTGGGGGCACATTTCTAAGTATGTTGCTTGTGATCTGAGCTGGGACATTAGATATGGGTGTGTCCAAACCCAACAAACTCCTCTCCAGATGCATTTCCACATGTGTTGCAATCGTCACAGTCTCCTTTTGTTTCTCCCCAGTTCCTCTTTACATTTTTAAAAACAATTCCCCAGAAATATAGATTTAAGTTAGAAAACTCTAACAGTGTTAGTGCTGTGTTTGGTTCCCTGGAACACACACCCCCCTCATTCTCTCTGATCAGTCTCCTCCAATGCTTCATTTCACAAAGGCAATACTTTTGTGTGGATGGGTGGTATGATCTTATTCCAAAGGAAAAAATATGGCTGAGATTCTATATCACGGTCTACATTTTGTAACTTTACAAAGCTGTAGCTATGTTGCAGAAATGCAATGAAATCCAATTAGTGAATTGGCAAGTGTCCTAATGTGCACTAGGCACTCTTGCTGAGCATCAGGAATAACATACTGGTCACTTTTGATGCCTGTTGGACACTTCTGTTACCCATCAAACACTGCTGTTGTGCTCCAACACTTCCTAGCCAGTGTCCAGATGTGCATTGGTTTGTGCTGCTCATTGGGGATGTGGTGCTTTATACACTACACTCAATATCATTGACCAATGGATGCCTATGTTGAAATGTCACAGCATCCCCTGCCAAGGCAAATACAGATATAGCAAACCTACCCAGTTCTATTTCCCACAGACATGAATCCACCTATAAAGACATAAATCCCACAATGAATTCCAAAAGGACCGTTACAGATACAGCTAAAATGGTAAAATGCATTCTGTATCCATATTTATAATTAAATATAATGAAATAATGCAGGCAAGTGTTTGCCTATTATTTTTGTTGCCACTGTTGTTTTGTTCATATATCAATTTCCCATTTCCAAAAGGACGCCTGTGTTGCAAACTTACAGCAGCAACAGAGTATTTTGGCACCTTAAAAACCAGCATACTTATTATGGCATAAAGACTCCTGGACTACAGCCCACATTATCAGATACTTCCATGTCTTCCATTACAAGAACATCCATGTCTTCTGCAGGTCTTGCATCCTACACCCAATATATTCAGGAAAGGTTGGGAAGGATCTCAAACCACAACTACCTTTGTTTTTGTGTTTCAAGTTCTGAAGGATTTACCTTCCCCATATTGCTCCTCTAGAGTTCCTAATTAAGAACTGCAGCCTTTTGTAGTTTTACTGAAGGTCCTGCTGTTATTTTCTAGTTAAATGCTTAATCCTCCAGTTGGTGAAACAGTGGAATTTTATAGCAAGGCATAGGTTTAGGGAGAAGTTTGATGTTACAATGGCAGTATGTAACATGAACATTGAGACAAGAATGCTACTATTGTTTTTATTGTTTGCACGCCTTTACAAAAATGTCCAGTTCCACATGTGATGAGCTTTAATTCTTTCGCTCCCTTTGAAAGATAAAATCTTATCAATCAAAGTGTATCTTGTGACAACTGCATTCCATTTTTTATTAGGCATTCACAAAGAGCAATTCTATTCTGCTGGTCTTAGCATTTTTGGATAAACACACACACACACACACACAAACAAATACACCATCCCTGCACTATTCCAATAAACTAGGTTAAGTTATCACACAGCACATAATTAATTTTAGAATTTGCTTTCACAAAATCTAGGTGATGATCAGAGCTTGACTACAGCTTATGAATTTCCTAGTGCTCTTACATTTTACTTGGTGCTATCACTGCACCTTCCTTCCATAGCATAGCAGTAATTTCTGAAATGTAAGCAAATCTCAGGACAGTCACCATACTTATACCATTGAGGACAATGCAAGAATGTTGGCAAGCTGTAGTTGATTCATATATATATATATATATATAAACTAGTTTTAGCAGTTTGAATCTCCACCAGAAGCAGGTCCTTTGGAAAACAAATGGGTCCTAATTGTTCATTCACTACCAAGCCACCCTAAAATATTCTGTATTATGATAATGTATGGTTGTTGGAGAATCTATTCCCAGCTCCACTCCCCATTCCATGTAGTGTGATCATTCAGCGAGAACAGGGAAGCATGAAAGGAGACAGCAAATTATGCCATTGCCTCTGCTTATCAAAAAGTTCCAGTACTCTGATCCCATGGTCCTTGGCTCCACTACACCACTGCCATCCGTATATACAGAGATATTAAAGGTATAGGATGGGCAAAGTGCACCCTATGGGCCACATATGGCCTTCAGGGCCATTTTTGTGGTCCCCAGGGAAGTAAACAGGAATTTTACTTGCTAATTTCCTGTTAAAAAAAGGTCTCTCCAGTGCTCAGGGGGCCTGAAAACAAGGTGAAAATGCTCCTCATGCCTCCTAGAGGGTGTTTGTGGCCAAATGTTTCTTTTCTTTCCTTTCTATGGGGGGTCATCATGGGGGATGCATCCCTCCAAGGTTTTCTGGGAGCCTATGTCCTCCTAGTCTCCCAATGTTGCCCACTCCAATGTATGGTTTGGATAGTGTGTGTGTGTGTGTTGTGTGCCTTCAAGTCATTTTTGACTCAAGGCGATCCTAAGGCACCTTAGGGTTTTCTTGGCAAGATTTGTTCAGAGGAGGTTTGCTATTGCCTTCCTCTGAGAGCATGTGCTTTGCCCAAGGTCAGCCAGTGGGTTTTGTGGCTGACCTGGGAATCGACCCCTGATCTCCAGAGTCATACTCTAATGTTCAAACCACTAAGCCATGCTGGCTCATAACCAGCTTCTAAACATATTTTGGCTGCACTATTTCTGTGCCATCTTTGATAAGAGCATTTAAAGCATTCAGGTATATTTCTGAGTTTATTTACTAATTGGATATTATACAAAACTGCATATATTATGTCAAAATGGGGGGAAATGCAAATAGGGAAGCACCATTGTCAGCTTGGTATTCATAATGCCTGATCAGGATGCAAAAGCTGTAGTATGGGATTTCCTATTTGTTTTTCCTCCTCCCTCCTTCAGCCCTGAGCAGATGCGCTTGGAGAGGAGGCAGCCCTGCCTGCTGTACTCTGAAACTATTCAGTCATTGCTTGCAAATGTTTTGACTCAAAGGAATGATTTCAGGATGGGAAGCAATGCGTCCCTTGGCTGTAATAAACACAATCAGGCAAAATGCCTTCCCATAATATTAGATGATGCCATTATTCACCAATCAGAACCTGAGGTTCCTGTTGCCCATTCACCAATGAGGAACCAGGCACAACTCCAAAGAAGACCCAGCCATTTGGAACTAAAAATAAAGTATCTCACAGGGCTGGTTTGTTTTCATTGTGCAATAGGAGTTAAGAGATTAGTCCTGTTTGTAACTGGGGAGTGGAAGAGGGTGGGGAGCAGGTTCCTTCCTAAAATATATGTGGCAAGAGAATAAATGAAGCTATTATAGGCTGCAGGAGTGAGAAACCTCGGAACAAAACACAGATGAATAATTCAATGTGTGCAAGAGCTAAATTTTTTGGTAAACACCACAGATGGATTCCTTTCTTTCATCTTTTTAAAATAAAGCAACCCATATTCTTTTCAGATTCACTAGACCAAAAAATAAAATAAAATAAAAAACTTACCTGTCCTGCAGTGTCATACAGCCCAAGGAGATATTGCTTCCCGCCGACTGTTACACTGACTGCAAAAAGAAAATGAAGCATGACATCAGAAGCAACACACACATAAAAGGGTTGTGTGTTTCTCTCTTCTCACTCTGGAACACCAACAAGTAAAAGAAGAGAGCATGGTTTCAATTATGCACTCAGACTCAAAAATAATCATTAAAAAGCACCATGTCCAAGAATGGGAGAAGAAAATATTTTTTAAACACACACACACATTTCTAAAGCTTTTACGATGGAGCAAAATAGAGGGAGAGTACTTATTGCGGTATCACAGATAAGAAAAAGATTGTCTCCATTGAATGTGTATTGTTGTTGTGTTCCTCCAAGTCATTTTTGACTTTTGGTGACTCTAAAGCAATCCCAGCTTGGGCAAGTCACACACTCTCAGCCTCAGAAGATGGCAATGGCAAACCCCCTCTGAAGAAACTTGCCAAGAAAACACTGTGATAGGTTTGCCATAAGGTCGCCATAAGTTGGAAACAACTTGAAGGCACACAACAGCAACAAGAAGGCAACACTATCATAGAGTTGTCTTGGAAAGTTTATTCAGAGGGGGTTTGCCATTGCCATCCTCTGAAGCTGAGATTGTGACTTGCCCATGATCATCCAGTGGGTTTCCACTGCCGAGTGGGTCACCCTGGGCCAGTCATATGCTTTCAGCCTCAGAGGATGGCAATGGCAAACCCCCTCTAAAGAAACTTGCCAAGAAAACTCTATGATAAGGCAGTCATAAGTCAAAAATTACTGGAAGGCATACAACAACAACACACACTCCCTCTTAACCCACAGGAACCTTATGTGTTCCCACAACAGAAATTATCCTGGGAGCTGAAGGAAGTGGACATATCTACAAAATGTCCCTTTTTTGTGCTTTTGGCTTCTCTAGTTTACAGTCACAGACCTATCTAGCAGAGATTACGCATCTTTGGACCCCCTAATCAGTCATGGCCACTTCTTTGCAGCAGGTTTTATCATATTTGGAGGGGAGGAGAAGAAAGAAAAGAAGAAAAGAAAAGACCATTCTGGCCAGACATCTGTGGGTCAATTCAAACTATCCTCCTCCCTTTCTTGATGTGTGCCGAAATCATTTTTGATCCTAAGTCAAACCTATCATAGGGTTTTCTTGTTAAGTTTCTTCAGAGGGGGTTTGCCATTGCCATCCTTATGAGGCTGAGAGACTGTGACTTGCCCAAGGTCACTCAGTGAGTTTCCATAGCTGAGCCAGGATTTCCCTTTTTCTGATCTGCCCACCATAATCAGACACATCAAACTGTATTGGGAGAGTGAAGAAAAGAGGGTAGAGAAGCCCTGCAAATTATCATTTTGAGGTGTGAGGGGCAGTAAAGAATTATAGGCAGTTAGGAGCACTGGTGAAAATTAATAATTTAATGCTTTCACTAAAGAAGGTCAAGGAGAGAGAGGACTGAGAAAGGACTGAGAGGGCTGAGAAAGTGAAGAAGCCCCCAAAATTATCATTTTGAGGTGTGAGAATTAAAAGGAGTTAGGAGCATTAAAATAATTAATAATTTAACGCCTTTGTCAAAGACGGCCAAGGCAAGAGGACTGAGAAAGGGGGGAGAAGAGAGCAGGGTGAACAGACATTCTCCTTTTCCAGGACATGTCCTCCATTCCAACCTTTTGTCCAGGAGGAATCCGAAAATGTCCTGCATTGTGAGCATGGCTAAGAAACATTAATTTATGGCTGTATCTACCCCACAGAAATAATCTGGTTTTGCATCACTTTGCCATGGCTCAATGCTGTGGAATTCTGGGATTTGTAGTTTAGGAAACATTTAGCCTACTCTGTCAGAGAGCTCTGGTGCCACAACAAACTACAAATCCCAGAATTCCATAGCATTAAGCCATTGAGCAATTAAAGCGGTGTCAACCCAAATTATTTCTGCATTGCGGGTGCAGCCTATACAGTCCTGGACCCCCTCCCCCCGCAAAAGCAAAAATCCACAAATATTCAAGCCCCATTGGTTTGAATGGGTGCGTGCCATTATATCCCTCCCCACTTGTCAGTCAACGAAAAGCGAGACCGCAGACTTGAAGTCCGCAAAAATGGAGGGACAACTATTTCTAAGAGTGTTTTTTTAAGCTTTTAGTTTGGTCATGTCTTCCATTTTTTCCTGGAATGTGCTATCTTTTAAAGTGCTTTTATCTTTTTAAGTTTAATTAAAAATTCTATTTTTAAAGAAATTATTTTTTAAATGCTGTTTTAAGAGCTTTTATCTTTTTAAAATTTTAATTAAAAATTCTATT